ACTCTTTGCCTAGTTAACAATTCTCCGCTCAGATAGCTGGCCTGACTGTTGTCTCCTTATCGGAGCCTGGCTGCCAGAGGGCAGGCCTTGAGCCCTGGCACGCAGAGGCTGGTGGGGTGCCTCCACGCTCTCTCCCTATGTCAGGGTGATGCAGATATGGGGAAGAGAGCGCTGCTGGGCCAGTGCGCCCACGGGGGCTGCCACGTTGGCTGAGGGAAGGCAGCCTCTTCAGGGGCATTCTGGGGCTCTCTTGTCAGGTTTCAAATAGGCCGTGTCTAGCTGGGCTGGGCCACTGTGGACGGGAGAAATTCCAGCTGGGCCGGCTGGCGGCTGTATGTTCCTTGAAGTCACCGGCATCTCCTGGAGATGGGAATCTATTTAAAATACTCTGTCTTCATAAATGTCCACACATATTTTGTGTCTGATGCATGATCCGGTTCCACAACAACTTTCATTTCAACTCTTTAATAAACATTAGTGAGCACCAAATAAAGGTCAGATGCGGTGCCGGCCAGCAGGGAGATGCAGAGAGAGTCACCAGTCCTTAGCCTCGAAGATCTCACTGTCTACTTGTGGGCGACACTCAGGTAAAAAAAAAAAAAATGACAGCTTCCAGTGAAATCTGGCAGATGGGACACACATATTTAACTCCACTCCCTTCTGAAATCCATAAAACTGCAGTGAAGTTTGTTTATTTTAATAATTTATTTAGATACAAATACAGTCGGTTGTTTTGAAAATGAGAGTTGGTTTCCACACAATTGATATATTATGGATCAATCTGTGCATAGTGTGAATTTCGCATTTCCTTATGCACAGTTTTGTCCGTCAAGAACATGGGTGAATGAAGAAAACTGCACCCAGTCTCACCGAGTCATGGAGGCATACACAAAATGCACACAACTCTAACACCTTAACACCTACTGCTGCCACCCCTCCATACCAGGTGGTACCACCCTTCCCTGGACTTCAGATCACCCTCCTCCTGCCAGTAACTCACAGTAACTTCACGGTAACTGACAAGCTGTGACCCATCCGATGCCCATGTCCACAAGCAAACTTAGTCTTTTGCCAGATAAAATGCCTAATTTATGGTAGTCATTATGAACTTCTTAACTGTTTAATATGCGTAAAACTGTGCTACCTTTTTCATTAGGTTTCTATTTTTTTTTAATGTGTCACTGATGAAGTTCTTAAGTATTGTGCCCCAACCCGATTTTTTCCTCCATAAGCCCTGTGGTTGTATTGCATGCTTTTGCATAGTGTGGTGATTTTTAGGAATGCGTATGTTATGGTATAGCAGAACTGATTATCCATAAGACAAAGAAAACAGCAATGGAGATGATCGTAGAACACTTCTGGAAGCTAGAAAGTAGAACAACTTGTAACTAACTGTGAGATAATAAAAAAAAAAAGTGTACATTGGTCTCTGCCCCCAGTTTCCAGCACAGAACTCCTAAAACCCTTGTAAATTCCTAAGTGACAAGAACATTAAGAGCATCTCTTCTTCTAATATTTGGTCTTTGACCCTGTCCCTGACACAGGACTCCTAAAACCCTTGTAAATTCCTAAGTGATAAGAGCACTAGGAGCATCTTTTATTCTATTGAGGCGATTTTGGATGGGCTCCTCGATGGCTCCTGGATGGGGGCCGGTCACGGACTAAGCCATGATTAGAAACTTGGAATTTTCAGCCCCACCTCCATCCTCCAGAGAGGGGAGAGGGGCTGGAAATGGAGTTAATAATTGATCGTGCCTACGTGAGGAAGCCTCCATAAAATCCCAATAGTAGGGGTTTTGGGGAACTCCCAGGTTAATGAACATATCCACGTACTGAGAGGGTAACATACCCCAACTCTATGGGGACAGAAGCTCCTGGACTCAGGACCTTCCCAGACTTTGCCCTTTGTCTTATCTTGCTGTTCATACGTATTCTTTTTTTTTTTTTTAAAGATTTTATTTATTTATTTGACAGAGAAAGACAACAAGAGAGGGAACACAAGCAGGGGGAGTGGGAGAGGGAGAAGCAGGCTTTCCGCCAAGCAGGAGCCCGATGTGGGGCTCGATCCCAGGACCCCGGGATCATGACCTGAGCCAAAGGCAGACGCTTCACGACTGAGCCACCCACGCGCCCCGTTCATACGTATTCTTTACCATATCCTTTAATAAACTGGTAAACATAAGTGTTTCTCTGAGTTCTGTGAGCCACTTTAGCAAATTAACTGAATCCAAGGAGGGGGTCATGGGAAACTTAGATTTCTGAAGTGGGACAGACTTGTAGGACTGAGCCCTTAAACCTGTGGGATCTGACACCATCTCCAGTCTAGTGTCAAAATTGAGTTAAGTTGTGTAGGACACCCAGCTGGTGTCACAGAATTGCTTGGTATGGGGAAAACCCCCCACACTGGTGACTGGAAGTGTCATAAGGGAAGGGTTCTGTGTGAGTGGTAAAGGAGATGCACTGGAGGAGAATTGGTTGTTTTTTTTTAACACACTAATTAACCCAAATAAATTGAATGTCGAGCCAGCTGTGAGAAAGAAGAGTGCTGCACAGAGAGAGCTTTCAACCCTGGAACCAAAGGCCCAGGGAAGCTTGTTTGTTAAGCAGGGCCAAGAGATGCGCCGCCACCCCCCCCCCCCCCCCGGCCCCTGCACCTGAGTGGGTAGATCCACTCCCTCAAGGCAAGGAAAGGACTCAGCCCTGGCCACTTTGCAACATCTGGAGGGAAGCCCCTTAAACCTACTGACAATGGTCGCCCTAGAGAGATCCCACTCTGTTTGCCTGAGCTGGGACAGAACTGTTCATGCCCGGAGCCCCCAAAGAGCCTAGAAGCTCTCTCCATTTTTCAGGCAAGGGAGTCCTGTCTACCCACCCTCACAGCAGCCTGAAGGGAGGACACCAATGTGAACAATCAGAACCAGTGCCTCCTACTGGGGAAAATGTATGGGAACAAGTAAGGTAGAACTGAAAACCAATGTGCCCCAACAGAAGGACTTCTATGAGGATTCAACCACATATTGCCATGAATGATCTGGGAATAAGAAAGAGGTTTTGGCGATTAAAAAAGAATCCTGAATTTAAAATTCAATAGGGAAAATGAAGAGTAGAACAGGGGCTCCTGGGTGGTTCAGTGGGTTAAGCGTCTGCCTTCAGCTCAGGTCATGATCCCAGGGTTGGGGTCCTGGGATCAAGTCCTGAGTGGGGCTCCCTGCTCAGCGGGAAGCCTGCTTCTCCCTCTGCCTCTGCCCCTCTCCCGCTCAGGTTCACATGCAAGCACACACATACTCTCTCTCTCAAATAAATAAATAAAATCTTAAAAAAAAAAGAAAAAGTAGAACAAACACTGCTGAATAACAGAGGAAGTCTTCCAGGAGATCAAATGGAGGAACTACCTTGCAACACAGGACAAAAGTGTAAAGACATGGAAATTTTGAGTGAAAAGATGAATACAAGGATGCCAAAGCTAGGAGATCTTACATCTGGATAACAGTTGTTCCAGAAGAAGAGAAGAGAAAAGAGAAGGACTAGTCGAGAAAGAAACAGGACAAGAAAACTTCTCTGAGCTAAAGGCTTGGGTATTAACATAAAAACAGTTCTTTGAATGCCTACCAAGATTAATAAAAACAAACTATATACCTCATCATATGCTGGTGAAGTTTCAGAACTTAAAAAAAAAAAGAAAGAAAAAGAAAAAGTGAAAATCCTAAAAAAAAAAAATCCAGGCATAAAAACAATAAACCACAAAAACAGGTGACCTGAAAAGGACAGAGAAAGAGAATTAGACTACCACTTACAACTTGAAAAGCTCCAGGAATGTGGAACGGTGCCCACCGCTTCTGGGGAAAGGACTCAGATCTACGAATCTTGGCCAAAATATTCTGAAGTGTGAGGGAGGAGACAGACATTTTCAGATCTTCAAGGAAGTCTCCATGAACCATTTCTTAAGAAATGATTCAAGAAGATGGTTAAGACAAGTGAAAATTAAATTTTAAAAAACACAAAAACACCTCAAGATATGAGTAGACACAGAGAATGTGAAATAGTGGAGAGCAAGAAATCTAGTAAAATCTGTAGCAAATAGATGGATGATGATAAATAGATTCTAAGCTATGTTATAAATTAGAAAAGATCTTTGAAACAGAACCCAAGGGGGAAAATCCTCAGTAATAGGTTGAAACTAAAGTTACAGGTTGACCAAACCTAGGCTATGGGATGGAGAGATTGATGCGATGGTGAGGAAAGAGGGGATGAGGATTGGGAAGGAAAGTGTTAAATGTCTGCTCTAAGTTGAGGGAGGTCATTGAACTACATAATTTTGGTGTGTTGATAGTGAAATACAGGTTGAAATATAACTGGAAATATAACAGTAACTGTTAGTAAACTTGAGATAGATAGACAAACTTCCAAATACTAGGAAAGTATTTAAAAAAGAAAATCTAAAAAAAAGTTTGGAAGGATACCCATTAATAGTAGCGACCTAAGGGACAGGTTGGGGGAGAGGGCTTTAGGAAACTAAGGGAGAATTTGCATTTTTCCCCTCTATGTTCTTTGATTATTCAATTCTTTTGAACTGTGGGGGATGCATTGATCAATTGCCTTTAAAATTAAAGACAATGGAATAAGAAACAGTGAAAAATTAATAGTGTTCTTAGGTGCAAGGTCATGCCATGTCTCTGGAGATACTTTCCTCAATTCCTCCTTTCTTTTCCAGGGTAATTTTTCATTCTTCCACAAATGAATAATGACTAACTAGAAAAAAAAGCCCAGAGAATGGCATGCAGATAATTCCTGAGGCCCCACAGTAGAAACTGAGCATGCGCCATAAATACAGATGGCTATCTGTGTACTTACAGGTCCTCATTTGTTGGAGAAGGGCAATGTTCTGGCCTGCCCTGCGGGGGGTTCACTGTTTTCATCTTTAGGAGACTGAACTCTGTGATGGGACTTAGAAGACACCGGGTTGGAAGTCACCAGAGCAGTGGCGCAGTGACATCTCTGGCCTAGTTCTTGACCTAGAGGTTAAGGTGCCCAAAGTTTAGTTGTGTCTCTGACATTTCTGTGAGCTATGCACTTTTGTGCAAGTCATTTGACCTCCCTGAGATGAAGTGATCACCCCAGACATACTGGGTTGCTGCACATAGTCAACATTCTCCAAATCTTTTTTTTTTTTTAAGATTTTATTTATTTGACAGAGAGAGAGAGCACAAACAGGGGGACTGGGAGAGGGAGAAGCAGACTCCCTGCTGAGCAGGGAGCCCGATGTGGGCCTCTATCCCAGGGCCTCGAGATCATGACTGGAGCAGAAAGATATGAGTAGACACAGAGAATGTGAAATAGTGGAGAGCAAGAAATCTAGTAAAATCTGTAGAAATCATAGTAAAATCTATGCTTAACCGACTGAGCCACCCAGGCGCACCATCCAAATGTTTATTGAATATATAAGTGGTTAAAGGAACAAGTGAATGGACCTGTATAAGGTCACCCCTCGTGGGAACTGTGCCTGAAGCCCACAGGTGTCCAGCTGAGCACGCAGTGAAGATGGGTCTCTCCTCACAACCCCTCACTCACCGGCCTCAGCACTCTGCGCACCTCCTGGAGGATGCGCTCCTGGCTCTCCACGGAGCACAGCACCAGGGTGCAGACCACCACGTCCATGGAGCCATCGGCCACCTGAGGCATGTTCTCCCCGGCAGCCACCACGAAGCGCTCGAACTGCAGGTGTCGGTTTTCCGCCACGCTCTTGATCAAGAACTTCTCAAAGTTGGGGTTGGGGTCACTACAGGTCACGCTGCATCCGGGTGGGTAGAACTTGAAGTTGGCCCCGGTGCCGCAGCCTATCTCCAGCAGGGAGAGTTTCCCGGAGGGGCCCACGAAGTCCTGCAGGTTGCTGAAGAGCTCCTGCTTCTTGCTGGCCATCTGCTGGTTGTACATCACGGAGCACCTCAGCATGAAGTAGGGGAACCATTTTTTGCATATCTGGTTCCACAAGCCTAGAAAATTCAGCAGGAACACGGGAAATGGATGTACCAGAAGGTGGGTGAAGATTGCCGGTGTGCAGGGAGGAGAGCGCAGAACCCTGGGGATGGAGGATGGGAGCAGGGTGCAGTGGTGGCACCACCAGAATGAATGTAAGACCCCGCAGACACCCCCATTTTCACAGAGTCATCAAATGAAGGACAAATCAAGAGAGGCAGTGTCTCAAGTCCTAGTCTCCTTAGGCTCTTACCAGAAAAGAGAGGATAGGAATCGCCAAGAGGTGGCAGATGTCCCAAAGCTCGTCGGTCACAGTAACTTCAACATCAGCAACAACTCCCGTTTACTGACTCCTTAAGTACATTTTATAACATGATCTTCTTTGCTACTTAAAAGAACCCATGAGACAGACATTCTTAATTTCCCACTTTACAGAAGAAGAAGCAGAGTCCCACAGAGGTTAGCAACAAGGTCGTGCAGCTAGGAAGAAGTGACAGTCCAAGTGAAACCAGATCACCACCCTGGTATTGCATGGTTTCCCCTGAGACCGCTGATCTCTTTTAGGGGGAGTAATTGTCATTCAGACGGAGACCAGAGAAAGTACATGCATAGGGTGATCAGGTGTAGAGAATTTGGACAGAACAACCCTACAAGACGTTTAACAGAAATAGCCATTCTCAAAGTCTGTAGAAACTTCTCTGGACTAGCCTCCTCCGCCCACCTTTAAGTATCTATATCCTTATCCATCCTTAGCTCCTTCCTGCCACACAGAGGTGTTTCTCCTCTGCACCAAGGCTGGTCTCACCTGGACTTTTAAAGCCAGCACCCCCCGCCCCATTAATTAGCTCCTCCCACACCCTCATATTTAACCTCTCTCCTTATGGTCTATCTTCTTTTCCTCCACCAACTCGCACGCTCAAGTCTCTCCAACCTATAAACATCCTCTCCTTTAGCTTGCTTCCCAGGCAAGCTAACTTCCCACCTTGCTTTCTCTTACTGCCAAACTTCATGAGAAATTGTAGTTGGCACTCACTGTTTCTACTTCCTCGCCCCATTCGAACCTCTGCCCGCTAACATGTGGCTGGTGACCCCACAGCTCCAGTGAAGTGAATGCAGACAAATGGGAAGGCAGTCAGAGGGGGAGGAGAAAGAGAAGGTGACAGTATGAAGAAGTAGGGACCGGTGAATGGAATGCTCTATCTGAGGTGTTGAGGGAGGCTGGTGTCCTGGGGGAGAGACCGTCTGTCCTCAGAGCCTGGAGGGAGGATGAGAAAGGTGGGTACGGAGGTAAGTCTGGGTGGAGGAGGGACGGTAAGGAGTTTTTAGCAGACGGCCTGATTTTCTCAGTGAAGAAGAATGCTATGTGACTTTGTTGAAGGTGAGGGTGGAGGGGGTAGGGTGGAGCACAGGGAGAGAGCTGAGAAGCTTTGCCATAGCAAGTAGGAGGATTGGAAAAGCCTGGTAACCAAAGGTAGAGAGAGGAGCCCAGTCAGAGAGGATGCAGCTGAGCCTGGGGATTGTGAACGGGTATGACACCACATCTTGAGGGTACGGTCTTCACCGAGGTCTGCAGTTCGGAACTCAAGTGGAGTTCAGCATTTAGGTTGAGCCAGGCTGGGGGTTTGTCTAGGTGGAGGATATTGAAAGGTAAGAGCTCAAAGATGAGGAGTCCGAGGGGTCCAAGCTGGAAAGAAAGAAGGAGCGTAGCAGGCAGGGAGAAAACAGAATAATGGGGTTCAGGCCTGGGGATGCTGGTGCAGGTGAAGAACCCATCTGCTGAGTGGGACAGTTATGACCAGCCCCATAGTGTGAGACCAGAGTTTGACACTCCAGAGATGGAGCAGATTAGGTTCTAGAGCATGGCCATGGGCAGAGACAAGAGGAAAGGGATGGATGTGAGGGTCACTGGAATTGAGGAGTTAAGGAACGGTCAGGCTAAGATGCTGGGCAGGTTATCTGTCTGGAGAGTCGAGGTGCCAGGCTGGAGAGGAGCCCCCACAACCAGGTGTCAGAGTCCCTGGCGAGTGTGAGGGAGTGACTAGGAGGTCAGGAGGCGACTCTGGGCCTGGCAGGGACCAGCCACAGGGGAGGGGGTAAATGTGGTGTAGTTGGATGGCGTGAGCCTCTTGGGTTTTAAAAAATAGCAGTGATTTGTACAATAAATATATAAAGGCAAAAACTCAATCAGTATAGAAAGGATTTTATTTTCATTTTTTTCAATAGATAGCACCCCTTGAATGTATGTAATATTTTTTAAAAATTTATTTATTTGAGAGAGAAAAAGGGAGAGAACATGCAATCAAGGGAGGGGCAGAGGGAGAGGGAGAGAGAGAGGATCCTTAAGCATACACTCTGCTGAGCTTAGAGCTCGACGCAAGGCGGGCCTCGATCCTACGACTCTGAGATCATGACCTGAGCAGAAACCAAGAGTCAGACGCTTAACTGACTAAGCCACCCAGGCGCCCCTTGTTGTATTTCTTTGAGTTAGGTTGAACATTTTTTTTCATATTTGCTATTTGATTTTCTTTCTTTCTTTTTTTGTAGGCAATCTAGTGGCTCAAACTGCCAAAGTTCAAATCCTGGATTTTTGACATCCTAGTTGTGTGACCTTGGGCCATTTACTTAAATTTGTTGTGCCTCTGTCTCCTTCCTTAAGATGGGGATGATCACGCTGTGCCAAAGAGCTGTGGTGGGAGCTGCCCGGGCTCACGGAGGCCGTGTGCTTAGGACAGGGCCGGGCACCTGCAGAGTAAGTACTCTGGAAGCATGCTAGCTCTTATTATCTCTGTCTGTTGCCCACTTTCCTGCTACATCATTTGTCTTTTGCTTAGGGGTTCGTGTATTCAGGAGAGCAGCCTGCTGGCTGTCATTTATGTTGCTTTCTTGTCTTTCATTATTTGACATAAAAAAAAAAGTATTACATTCCATGCAGAAATGTGAAATGCTTTTTGTTATAATAACAAACATTTGAATTCTAAGATACTGAAAACAGATCATGCTTTTTTTTTCTTTTTTAGGAATCAGAGGCTGTGTTTTCATGGGATGGACAACGAGTCATGGCTCTAAAGTGCAGTGGGGAAGCCAAAGACTATCTTCCCCCACTCTCCGGAGGGGAGCAGCCCGTTCCCCCTGCAGGGGCTGCAGGACCACTGTGTCTTCACAGGTTTCATGAGGCCAGGCTGCTTGCTGGTTTCTCGCTGGGGTCCAGAGGGCACAGTGTGAAGCCAGGCTGGGAGCCGGAGGGTCACCGAATGTGTGCTTGGGTGTGTGTGTGTGTGTGTGTGTGTGTGTGACTGAACACTACAGAGATAGGGGTGAGCCTCTGAGCAGTAAGGGGACAACTAGGAAAGGCGCTGAGGATGATCTTATCAGAAGATTCTGCCCAGAATGCCTTAAGGGGGTCTCTGTGAGGCCAGCAGAGGCACGGGCTGGGGTGGCAGATGGAGTTGAGATGACCCACTGTGCCGAGCACCCTGCAGGTAGGAATGTGATCCGAGGCCTCTCTCGGTGTCGACAGCTCCTCGTGAAGCCCTCCAGAGGGTGTGTGTGTGAGTGGCCTGGCACCGAGTGGGCCGTGCTGTTGGCCGTAGATGCAGAGATAGGAGGAGAGGGGTGGGCGGGGCTGGAGCTGCCAGGAATGTTTCAGGGAGGGGGTGGGGAGGCTGAGGGGTGGATACTGGGCAGGCCCTGCAACGGGGAAATGCCACTCGAGAGGGGGCTGAGGCCTGGCAAGCCTGAAGATCTTTTCTTCTTTGCAATGTCCTCCCAGCTCCCTCTCCCCATGGAACCCAGGGATTTCATCTCTGGTGAAGAAACCATGCCCACGGAGGGGCAGTGACTTGTCCACGGTCACAAGGCAGGTCACCAGCAGTGTTCTGTCCAAGATCTCTCAGGCCAGGCTCTAGGGGAGAAGTGGAAGTGTTGGGGGGGGGGTCACAGATCCTGTGGAGGCTACAGGTGGGAGGGGGAAGGAGGGTCCAGCCGCAGAACACGGGTGGGGCTGTGGGGGTTGAGAGGTAGGGGGCTGGTATGGCAGGTGGTAGGAGAGAGTTGAGGATGTGCCCTGAGGGGTAAGGAAGTTGGAGTGTGTGTGTGTGTTTGTGCGAGCCATGGGGTATGTGTGCATGTGTGTATGTGGGTGCATGTGTGTGTGAATATATGTGAGTGATGTGGTATGTAGGCGTGTGAGTGTGCATGTATGTATGTGTGGAAATTAAACAGTTGGTCTCTTCAGCCTGCTTGGGGTGGGGGCTGGGGAGGAGTGGGATCCCCATGCCTGCAAATATCACAAGGCCAGGAACTCTTGTGTGCTCTTTAAATTACAACTGAGAATTCCAGGTAAAATCTCAATCTCTCTCCCCCTCTCTCTCCCACCCACACACCCACCCACACCCACCCACACACAGCCTACAGCAGAGACCACTGAAGGTCTCCTCAGGCACCCCTCTGCCTCTGGCCTGAGCTGTCCCACACCAGTACAGAGAGAGGGAGGGCCAGGGATATGGGCCTGCATGGAGGTCACTGAACAGGGGCTGCGGCTCCCTTAGTCTCAGGGGAAGGCCTTCTTATCTAACTGAAATGAAAACCAGGAAGAACATTCCATCCCCACCCTCCACCACCCAGGATGTCCCCGAGGGCTTGGTCTGAGGTGACAAGCCGGCCAGCTCATGCGGGGCTGGAGGTAGGCTAAAGGTGGCAGCAGGCCTGTCAACTGTCTTTTCCAAAGGCTCTCTAGGTGGCCCCTCTAACCAAAAAGGGTCTGGGGAGAATGGGGGGCAGGGCCTGGCAGAGGCCAAGGGCGTGGCAAGCGTGGCTGGAGGCTCCTGGGAAGTGAAGCTGGGTGGTGAGCTGTCTCTGTCTGGTGCTCCCTGTTCCAGCACGGTTTCTCCCCCTCTTGGGCTGGGTTCGAGACTGCTGGGACTTGTTTGGTGGGCGACACGATGAGAGCTGGGGACCTTTCCGCAGGAAAATGGCAGCAGTGGAAGATGGGGAGGAGTGTTTGAGTGTAAATACAAGCAGGCTCACAGACCTGCATCCAAAA